TTCTATGTATTTATTGGAATAAAACCAAATGATTTGATAACTTTGATATATAAACCTCTGTCTTGCAAATAAAGGTCAACAGTTTTATGCATGATGTGGTGAATTCATGTTTTCAGGAAAAAAATAGGGTAAAAAATGTAATCATAGTACTGAGATTTACAGTGGTAAAATAAAAGGTGAAATGTCAGAAAAACTCAAACTAGAGATTAACTCAAAGTGCTTTCGTATAATGGGAATTATTTATCTGGTAAAATAACAAGGAGACAATAGCACAGCAGTATTTAATAGCAAAGTATTGTTCCTGACCTTATAAAGATAAAACATTTCAGAAGCTGTGATTGCATCTACATGGACTGAGGAGCCTGTAATATGCCTGGGTCCATTTGCAGGATCAGAGCCTTGGCTTCTGATCCCAGAAAAAAAGAAAAATAAAAGTACTGTTTTATTCCAGGCTTTTGCACCCTTTACCTTTCCGAAGTAGCAGCTTTCATGCTACTACGCGGAATAGGGGATCTAATACAACCACATTTGAGGCACCCTAATTCAGGTAGGTCTCTAAATACGGTGAATACAAACAGACTTCCTACAACAGACAGTTTAGAGCATCTAAGCCAGGCAGTGTAAATCCTCCTGCCCTTTCTTCCATGTGACGACCTGAGAGCTGAAGGCCAGGACCTCTCTTGAAGGTTTTGCCACCCTAGTTATGTCACAGAGTGACAGGTATGCTTTCCTGGCATACCAGTGCCTAATGTAGGCGTTAATGTAGTGGCAAAAATAAGTTTCTTTACTGTTAAAATTTATTTTCATCAAGACACTAGTATGAACTTCAGTGGCAAAACTACTGGGTCCACAATTGGATGCTTTCAAGTGTAGCTATGACAATAAATCTGTTGGGTAAGTGTATTGTCTAAGTGCTTCTGTTAATTTTCCTATTGAAAGAATATTTGTTTTTGCAGGCAGTGGTGTCTACTTACTCAAGTCTTGTGCCACCTGAGAGGCCTTACATTTGAACTCCTCTTAGATTGTTCAGCTTCTTTCCACAGGAATTCACAGTGTCTTAGGAAAAAATAGTTCCTATTGCCTTGAGAAGCAATGCCACCAGCAGACAAGGGAGAGATTGTGATTGCAACCAAGTCTCAGGCAGTGCTGCCTCAGCGCAGTGCAATGCCCCGGGGGACCGTGGAGCCTCAGGGACGGCAACTTCTGGCCTGTAGGGACGGGAGAACTTTTGGGACAGCAGGGCCTCGGGGATGGCAGTGTTTTAGGAAAGTCATGAGAATTTCTGTGCAACACTAATTGTACAGGTGGCTTATACTTTTGTCATACAGGAAAAATTAGGTAGCATTGGAATCTCTCCACAACGCACACAGCAATCCACCTATGAATAAACTTTTAGATATGTCCTTTACCATCCCAAACCTTTTTTGCACTAGTAAAACTAAAGATGACAACAGTACCAAGCCAATTTGTCAGGACAAATTCCTCCAAACCTTATGACTTTAAACAAAGATGCTACCAGTGATTTTGCTTGCTGTAGATTTCGGGGATGCTCATATTAAGATGCCTTTTCCAAAGCCCAAGTCAATAGCAATACAGCCTTTAGCGGTATTTGATGGCTCAGCAAATGATCAGCAACTCTCATAATCTGCCTCATCCTTTTACTGGGATTGATCTGAAAGGACAGTAGGTGTTTTGGAAGTGAGAACCATCATTGCCTGAGGAATATGGTCTACTTTTTGATATATTTGAAGATTTCAATGACTTGGCGATGGGCTGAGGCATGTAAGTGAAGAGCACCTGAGCTAGGAGGGAAACTTTGGTCTGGGACTCGCTGTTGTTGCTATTTCCTTTGAGAGCTTCACTCTGGAAATACACTGCAGTAAATAATTCGGTGTTTTTTCTTTCTAGGAGGTAGGCCAGATTTTTTAATGCAAACAACAACAGCAGCTACAGCAAAACATTACCACGCAACTGCTATTGCTGCTATGATTTGTACAGCTTGGGCCTACCTGTGACTATATTATCCATTATTTTGCAGAAAGCCATACTCAGGGGGTTAAACAGCCTCTCAGGCTCCCCCAGAACTCAGTGCTGGGTCTTCAGAGCAACTTCTCTTGCCCTCAGGAATCCCCGATGCTGGAAATCTGGAAGAAAGTCTGGAGAAAGGAAGATTTTCCCTTGGTCAAGGAGAATCGAGTTAGAGATCATTTAGGCAAACTTGACACCTACAAGAAGGCCATGGGGCCTGATGGGATGCATCCGCGAGTGCTGAGGAAGCTGGCAGACATCATTGCTAGGCCACTCTCCATCATCTTTGAAAGGACATGGAGATCAGGAGAGGTGCCTGAGGACTGGAAGAAAGCCAATGTCACTCCAGGCTTCAAAAAAGGCAAGGAGGAGGACCCAGGGAACTACAGACCAGTTAACCTCGCTTCGATCCCTAGAATGATGGTGGAACAGCTCATCCTGGAGGCCATCTCTAAGCATGTGGGGGACAAAGTGATCAGGAGTAGTCAGCATGCCTTCACCAAGGGGTGACAGCCTTCTATGACAGAATTCTATGATATGACAGCCTTCTATGATAGAATGACTGGCTGGGTAGGTGAGGGGAGAGCAGTGGATGTTGTCTACCTGGACTTCAGCAAGGCTTTTGACACTGTCTCCCATCACATCCTCCTAGGTAAACTCAGGAAGTGTGGGTTGGATGAGCGGACAGTGAGGTGGATTGAGAACTGGCTGGATGGCAGAGCCCAGAGGGTTGTGGTCAGTGGTGCAGAGTCTAGTTGGATGCCTGTAGCTGGCAATGACCCCCGGGGTCAGTACTGGGTCCAGTCTTGTTCAATGTATTCATCGATGACCTGGAAGAAGGGACAGAGTGCACCCTCAGCAAATTTGCTGATGATACTAAACTGGGAAGAGTGGCTGACACACCAGAAGGCTGTGCTGCCATCCAGAGGGACCTGGACAGGCCGGGGAATTAGGCAGAGAGGAAGGCCCTGAAAATCA